TGGTGGGCCAAAGTTACTTTGAGTTACATGTTTTTATTAGGCAAACGAAGTTTTTTCGTTAGCCAGAGCTAGAAAATTTTGTTTGATAACTCATCTTTGTTTTTGTTAAATGCATAAATATAATTTTTTTTAGTGACTATGTATGTTCAAAGTATATAAAATTTATTTTTTTCAAAATATGGCTGTTTTATTCCCTATTATTGATTATTTTAATATTAAAATTGACTTAATTACTTCTCAGGTAGTAGTTAATTAACCTAGCATAGGCTAACTTTAGCCCAATGCAGATAGAAGGGCAAAACTATAGGTATTTTAAGAGGTGGATTTAAGTTACCCCGTTGCCATGTAACTTTGGCCCATATTTTTTTGAAATTAAAATTTGATTTTGCATGCAGAAGTGGTGTCTGTAACCACATCTTTACGTGAAAATTGTTAGGTTTTAATTATTAAATAATTTTAATATAAACCTAGTTATATGTAGCCCTAAGGTTGAAAAAAAACTCTAAAATGGTGCAAAGTTACCCCGGTTTACTGTACTAATTGAATATTTTTATAAATTATGTATTCAAATAAAAAATCTTTGGATATTTTTCATGATATAATATTACGGTCGATAAATAAAGGGCAGTGGATTTAAAGAATCAGAATTATATTGCAAACATAAAAATAATTCATCTTCCTTTTTAACTCTTAATATATCTCACAGACCACAGTAATATTTATTTATTTATGTATAATATGTTATTTACTAACATTCTTAGTTCTTACTATAGAGTAGTATAGACTACAGAGTACCTGTTTTTAAACGAATACATAATTATTAATATGTTATTTTTATGTATTGATATATTAACTTACACAGTAAACAGGTCCACCAACACTTTAAATATAATAATATTTTTGTTGAACTCATAATAAATGTATTATGTATATTATTGAGTGGTTCATTAGACTCATAAATTTAAATTTGAATTACATTGTGTAAAATCTATCTGAATAGAAGGGAAACTTTACCTAAACTAATCTAAGAGTCAGGAATTCAAATCAATGTTAAGACTTCAAGTACCTACCGAGTACCTATGGCTATATTCTAACCTAACCTAATGACTAATGGCTAATATTACTAAATATAATAATTTACTAGCTGAATTACCCAAGGATATATAAAACCAAAATCAGCAATTCATCTGCGGCTGATAGTTACAAGTAACTTTTTTTTCTTACATGAATTAATTTCAAGCAGAACTAAAAGATTATTATGTATTATATACAGACTTGAATACAGTCTTATAAACTAATATTGTGGTGATAATAATCAGAGTTTAATATTAAATAGCTGAAAAGCAATCCGATAATAACTGATTCTATTATATAAACTATTATTGAATAGTAAAAATCAGTTGAGTATTTTTTGATTCTATAAACAACAACCATTGTATCAACTCTTTGCCTTTCGTTTTTTTGAGCTGTTATACAATTTTACATCTGTATCAAATAGCTTTATTAGCCTATAAATTACAAAATATAATACATCAGAAAGTTACATAAAATAATAACAACTAATTTATTATCTATAAGATTAAAAAAGTATAACTAGCTGTGAATTTGTAGGAAAGTGCATTTTTTTGGTGATTGTGAAACTCAGCTTTGTAAGTACATAATTTGAATTATGTAACTACGAATCCATTTATAAAACTTTTATTTTGCATTTTTTGATGTTTTTATTTTTTTAGGTCATATTTTGAGTTATTTTCCTTTTTTAGTTAATTTTCCGGTATTTTTAATCAAATTCCGTAAATTGACATGTTTGAAAAATGTTTTGGTTTTTTTTTTTTTTTTTGTCTAATACAATAATAAAAACCAAAGATGTATAAGATACCCGCAATTAAATATATTTTAGTTGTTTTATTATTTTAACTAAATAAAATATAGGGGGACGGAGTGGCCGAGCGGTCTAAGCCGTCGGTTTGCGACGTTGCCGGCGCCGGTTCGATCCCGTGGTCACGGGTGGCATTTTTCTTCGGCAAGTCACGGTGTCCGGAGAACAAGTGCCGCTATCCCACATCCGGGCATGGCAGATACCTGCGGGTGCCCAAATTTAAAATTCTGCCAAAACACACACACGTGTTAACAACCTACAGTTCCCCCCCCTACAGTACCACAAGCTAATGACTAATGTTGTCGAAGCCTCAACCCTAATATAAAAAAAAAAATAAAAAATAAAATAAACTACATAAAAATGTTTTAAAAAATTTTTCAAGTGGATTGCATTATACAAAATTCAAATTATATCAAATTACTATTTTTTTTTTATTAAATAAACACATTTTTATGCATGTAAAATTATTTAATATACTAATATATAGTATCGTATAATATCAATTTAAATATAAAAATTAAATTAAAAACCATTTTAAGTGAATTTTATACTACAATTTTTGGTATATTCATGTTTTAAGGTTTTTTAGTGCATTAAATTCACAGCCCCAATGTCAACCCAATAATATATTATATAACATTAAAAAAAAATGCCATCTTCGTGATCCGAAGCGAAATGTATGTGTGGCTCATTTCATAGCAATATAAGGGTTGAAAAATGAATTACGAACCCTGCCCAAGTCTCAATGAATATATTGGTATAATTTTTATTGAAAACGATCCAGTAGTTTTTGAGTGTATAGGGGACAAATAATATACAAAGAATCATTCATATATCTAATTCATATATAGATAATAATATAATATACTTTACGTGAGATCTATGCTCCAATAAATAGCTTTGAGATGTATTTTTTTTAGAAGTACGAAAAATGGGAAGAAAGAATCTGCCAAAATGTTTTAATTTTAACGAAATACACACAATTATTTTTTGAATTGGTACCAATGAGTACGAAAAAAGTTCTTTAAAAAGTATTGTCATTTATTTTTGGATATTAAGTTATTAATATACTTTTTTAATACCTATTGTTGTAAAAAAAATTGTTTATACTATCTTAACATTCAAAAATAAATTACAAGACTTGAAAGAACTTTCTTCGAATTCATAAAATAAATAATAATAATTAAAACGGAGCCATGCCATCTGGCTTCGACCGTTTATGTACCTACTCTTATTTTTTTTTTTTAAACAATTTCAACTGAACCGCTTTTTGCGTGGCTTCGGGAATAGAGAGACGTAGTCAATTTATAATTTATATAAATGCCCCTTAATTTAATTACTGATAATAAATGGTTTATTAATGAATAACAGAAAATAGAAATAAAATAATGCAATAAATTTAAATTTAAAATACTGTACCTATACCATACTACTGTACCTATAGTTATTATATTAAAATAATGCTATTTGCTAAGGATAATTTTTAATATCAATGAAGTTTGAATTTAAGAAAAATTATTATTTTCTATACTTACTATTTTATTCTTTTTTATAAATCTTATGCACGGATTGATAAATATAACTATATTTTTTGATAGTACATAGATATTAATTATATCATCAATTCCAATCAATCCAACGATTTAAATTTAATTTGAAATCGTAAGTATTCAATATTCAACATTTATAAAAAAATAACACTCCTAGAATAATAAAGTCACTAAATCTTGTACTATATTTATTTTTGAAACAAATATATTCAATATACCATCCTTTTGGTTGAGACAATGAGGTAAATATATTTAAATATATTAGTACAGTATATTTGAATTCAAAAGGGTTGAAATGTAATTTAAGTCATATTGATCGATTCGATACTATCAACGTTAAAGTTGATGAGTATATTAGAATCGTACCTTTGTAATATAGCTGTGAATAATGCATATAATATGTATATTATAAAACTTGAGAATAAAAAAATAATTAGAGTTGATTTGGTCAACATAATTGGTTTTTAATCGATGTTTTAACGAATTAGTCACTCTTCAGTACTTATCCATTATAACCTACAACGAAATAGTGTCTGATTTTTTTTTTTCGTGGTATTTTGTTCAACCGTTATTGATTTGTGTCTTTTTTTTCAAATGGTGTAGGATAAAATGTGGCCCATATCGGATGACATCCATATATTACACAAACATGTTTTTAAAAGAAAAATAATAATTGTATATAGCATCACTTCCACAGTGGTGACAATAATATAAATTATCTCATCTGTACGATCCAATGATTGTGAATGGAATGCTTAAAATATGTTTCCAGGTGATTCATTTTTACTAGGTGTTGACGTTTTTATTAGTTTAAATAGAATAACATAATATCATTGATTTATTCTGCAATTGTACACTGTATTTAACAAATATTTACAAATCTATGATTAATAAAAAAAAACTGTAACGTCAGTAATTGATAGTTCTTGTTAAGCTTGGTGATCACAAGACCACAAAAAACCAAACTCACGATGGGCTTAACAATAGTTATAAATTGTATTGAAAACTTTCTGTGCATGCTTTATTTTCCTCGATATTTTTCTGATTTTGTTTAATGTGATTTCCTCGAAAAATTACCAATGTAAAGTAAAACACGTTATATGTAATCAAATTTATTGTAAATGTACTGTATGAAAACTTTTTCAGTATTTTACTGCTCTGAAAAATAAAATCGTAAAATTAAAAATTAAAAATAACAAAAAAGTACAGTAAAGGCAAAGTTCCTCTATCCACCATTAGAACCTAAAAATCTCATAAATTTAACCGTTTAGGAACCGTTTACGACACTTCTTTTGAAAATGAAACAACAAAAACAAAATATTATGACAGTTAAACGTGTTTAAGTAATTAAAATTATAGACCATCCTTATCAAGTCTATACTTATATAGACTCGTTTTTTTTTTTACTAGAGCTCCATGATTTTGAATAATAAATTAGTCTACTCACATTTTTTAAAAATATAAAATATAGTTTAGGAATAACTTAACTATATTATAATAATCGTCTATAACATGATAGTTTTATTACAAATGACATAGTTAATAGTTATGCATTGTATTCTGTTCATGTCATGATAGCAAACTTACGTTTCAATATTTCAGACAACAAAATATCTTATCTGATACAAGTGCCGAGCAAAAACCATAATAAAAACTGCTACAGCGAAGAAATTGTTTGCCCAAAACTATCCACATTGGCATTGTCCAGAAACGCCTTGGATACAGTCGAACAATTTGGGATCGTATCCAATAAATTACGTATATTGTATTTGGTAATTTGATTGAAAACTCATATAATATTGGAATGCACTTACACGAAACATATTTTTGTTATAATAATGTCATCAGAGCTACAACAAAATTGACAAGCTAAATGGATTAGATGATTTACGAAATCTGTCTCGTTTACACTTGCGTGGTAACCAGATATCGAACTTGGATGGTTTTACTGATAATCTGACGAATTTGACGTACTTAAACTTGAGGTAATATTGTGCAATATACTAAAAACTTGAAAAGTATAAGTAACATTAAATATATCCATATCTAAATAATAAAGATATCATCAAAAAAACCTAGACAAAAACCAGTGTCTACAATAAAATATTATGATACGATTATATTATATTTTATTATTTTAGTATTTATTACTCAAAACGAATGTCCGTTTTATAGTATAATTTAATAAATTCAATGCAAAACCTAAAAACATATTAATGCTAAATACGATGAGTAATTACTAAATAGTAATATAATTTGTTTAAACACAATATTACATTATACTTACGTTTAAATACATAAGTTCAAAATTGCATAAAAAAATATTAATTTTATATTAAACGTGTCATAATAATATTATTATCAGTTACTCGTTTTCATTTAACGTTCAAAGTAAAATGCCAAATAATTTAAATCCTATGGGGTGTAATGTTTCACATTATTTTCAAATACCTATAACAATAAACTGGAGTTTTTAATCAAATTAAATGTATAATAATATATATATAATGTTAGAATGAGTCTTGATTAGATAAATAAATGTAAGAGGATGAAACCGTTTAATTTTATTATTTCTAGTTCGATCAATTTAAAAACAAACTCCAGTCTTAGTTTAAAAAAAAAAATTCAATTTAAAAATCATTGAAATGCAATTATTGCGATTAGTAAAAAACAACAAATCGTTACAAAAATCAATTAAATAAAACAAATAGCGTAGAAAAACGTTAACTTTTTTACGAGAAAACATTTCTATTAGTTCTTTATCATCAGTTTCCAAGTTGCCTCCTGATATTATTAATCCAGAGGTTAAATTATAAATAATACAATTCTATCCCATGTAATGTATTTCTGTATTTGCTTTGGTTCAAATTAGTGTTGTAAACATATTCATTGGATAGTTTTTTTGAAATAATTAATGTTTAACTAGTAATAGAATATCTGTGTATTAATTAAGAGTAAAGTGTTATTTGTTAAAAAAAAAACTTATTGTATTCGAATGAAACATATTATTTTAATGCTCCTGCGATACGTATTATTGATTTTGTATTTTAAACAGTTTTTAAAACTTTTCGATTTGTACAACTGTTCTTGGAAAATAATTTATTCTAAACATCTTTACAATGTGATATAAACTCGAATTATTCACACACACCTATTTCAATTCTGAGCGGAGTGACGAATGTATTGATTTCAATCGTGTATGTTGTTTTTTTTGTGTATCTGCGTTACACGTGTTATACTAGAAAAATACTTCAAGTGTTGTTTCAGACAGTAAATGTAGATCCAACTGGTACTTTTGGGAGGTCCAATAGTATTTTTGATGTAATTAAAAAATAAATTATCGTAGACTTGAAATTTTCACAAAAAAAAAAAAAATAGTTTTAGCATTTACTAGACACAATTTTTAAAATATTTCGGCTCTTTTTCACTATTTGTAAATCCTTGAATACCTTATCTTTTTTGATTTAAGTATACAGCTGATAATATATTTCAATATTTGTTTATGGGTAAAAAGAACTTTAAAATGTTGTACAATACTCCTCATAAGTTCTTATAGCATTAAATATTTTTTTTTTAAATCCGTAATTACAAATTATTTATAACCGTTTATACTTTAAGTTTTAACGGCATTCATCAAAATCATAAAAAGTTTCAAATTATTTTGTAGGAATTTAAAAAAAAGCATAGAATTTTGTATTTAAACATTTAAAACTTGAAAATTAAATACTAGATTCCGTATAAATATAATTCTTACTGCAACTCAAAAATCTTAAAAACAATTGCTAAATTTTTTTATTTTAAGTTCTAATTTTTACGTTATAAGATGTTTAAAAATGATGAATAACGATTCTTTTTTTTGTTGTTATTATTTTTATTTTTTAGGGGCTCAAACGTTTCATTAAAGCCTGTATTATTATTAAATATAGATAAAGAATTTTTTCAAAATATTTAGAGGTCCTTGAATTTAGCTGAACAATGTTAGCACTTATTTCCGTTATAATAATTAATACCATTATTTAGTGCTATTCTACGGTACCATTTTTAAAATTAGTGCTATACCCTGCAGTTAATAGTTATGTGGGGTTTTTCATCCTCTACTAACTTCACGTAGCTGGTGTACCATCAGCACCAAAATTCGCTATACTACCAAATTTTTTTGCTAAATCAATGCCAATTTAAAGGAACTATTTTCAAGATTGGTGCAATGATTCCCTGTGATTTATGGAATTTTCCGTATTTTGATCCAGTGGGTGCACCATCAGCACAAAAATCCGCTATAGGTATCACCAAATTTAAGTTCTCAATATTATTAGTGCTATTCAATGGAACAATTTTCAAAATTGGAGCTTTGTTTTCCTCCGAGATATGGAATTGTCGTATTTTATTTCAGTACCTAGATTCACTGTCAGCACCAACATTTGGTGCTCCAACAGTGCTATTCAACAGTATCATTTTCAAATTATTATTATTAGATACATTTTTATTTCAGTTAATATCAGTTTTATTATATAAATATTATTTCGATATGTATTTAAGAATCTTTTATAAGCGAGAAAGTAATTAAAATAATATTGATTTATTTTATAAGACTATAAGTCTATACGAGATGACACACCAATTACAATAAGATAATTGTTGTAATAATTGGTATAAAAATTCCACAATATGCAGTTTATATTATTATACCCACAAATTATAATAAATATTATTATTCGTAATAAAATGACGGGTAAATTCAAATTATTACATATTAGTACAAATAATCGTTCTCTGTGGTAATTTTTATAGTCTTTGAAAGATTTAAAAAAGTATCATCAAACTATAAACAAAAATGGTCAGTATATTTTATTTGTTTTTTTTTTTTTTAAATGACCAATTATTTTTTAAATGAATTTAAAATTCACATAGCTTACATATTTTTTACAACAACCCAGTATAGTACGAAGTGTACCTAAAAAAACACACATTTTTGTACTTGATATATTGTATTATATTTAGATTAAATTATTAAGCATAAAGTTATTATTATAAATTATTATTTTTACGTTTAAATTGACATTTTATAAACTGTGTCAGATATTATGTAAATACTTACTATAATTACTTACTAGGTTATAGAAGCTTTTTAGATACTTATGGAAATAATATTTGAATAATAAAACTAATATTAACCAAAATCCACCAATGTATATAATAATAATAGCTTGAAAAATGTACCATTAAATAGCACTGTTTGAGCACTAAATGTTAGTGCTGGCGGTGTATACTCTGAAATAAAATACGGAAAAACCAATATCTCTAAGGGAAACATATAGCACTAATTTTTAAAATTGAACCACCAAATAGCACTAATTAAGCACTAAAATGAGGTGCTACAGTGGATGTTGGTGCTAGTGGTGGACCCACTGAAATAAAATACGGAAAACTCCAAATTGGTTCCTTTGAATATCATAAATTGAGAACTAAATGTTGGTGCTATAGCTGATATTTGTTCTGATTCACTACGTGAAGTTTTTGTGAAAGGTAAGCTTCAGTATAATTTTTTAATGGGCATAACACTAATTTTGAAAATGCTACCATTTAATAGTATCAATTGAGCACTAAATAATGATATTATGGTGAAAATTAGTGCTTAAGTTTTTCCGCTAACTTCTCTCACCTAATATGATATATTAAATTGAATTGATTTTAGGCAATAAATGACTATTAATTAATATCACGAACATATTCAGTCTGTTTTACGGTAAGGGGTGGTAGGTGTTGACTCGGTATGTATGTGTACGATTTATGTATATACTACTATGGTAATTTATAATATTATATTATATACTTTATACTCAGAAAAAAATAATTCAATTTACCGTATTATTAATAATAAAATAAATTATTCTACTAACAATACAAATACATAAAATATAATCATATATTCTTAGTAACATAGCCTGACTTAGATTTTCCGCTCAGAATCGTTTTTTGTATGCAATAATTCGTTGAATTCAAATTTAACACATTACAGTGACTTTCTCAATTTCATTAATGACAAGGTAAACACGACAGTCGACACGTTCTACTGTACACGAGAGAGGGAGGTTGCCTAATTGCCAAATTTTGTATTCTTGTTTTTTTTGTATATTTTTCCTACTTATGAATTATGATTGTATATAATATTATTCATTTTAGGGATAACCAATTAAGTGACGTAGAAGAGCTCAACAAATTGGTGTGTCTCAAATCATTAAAAACGTTGGTGGTGTCAGATAACAGTTTCAGCAAAAATTCGATCAGATCAAAGGTACTGAAATCGTTACCGTGGCTGGAGAGGATTGACAAGGGAACTATTAGCCCGGCTGAAAGGTGGCACGGAAAGTCACGTGGGGAGGAGGAAAATGACGAGGAAAATGACGAAGAGGAGGAAGAGGAAGAGGAAGAGGAGTAAAAGGAAAAATAATCATATTTTGTATTATATTATTGCGATGAGAAAAATTAATGCCAATTTCAGAGAATATATTATTATAATATTATTCCAGTTGTAATTTTAGATTCTACTGGGACATTACAAGTTTAGAGAGCCAATCTACCAATGTAACCTACATAACACATATACATACATAATATATAATATACCTAATTAAATTACAGGGTAAATATTTTATAACAAAACAGAGGTGGCTTGGCCAGGTGGTCCTCGTCTAATTGGGCCATAGTGGCCCCGGTGTCATGATATATTTTGTAAAATGTATTTATAAAAATTATAATTAAAAATTTAGTTCGATCTTCTTCTTGTTATGCTATACAACGATTTTTATAACTATTGAAATATAATGTACGTGGCTATTAGTAACCACGAAGGTAAGCACGAGGAAGATAATATCTATATATTATAATTATATTATCATATTATTTATGAACTAAAAAGATACAATGTAATAATAGAATATATAAAACGATAAAAGTACAATACAACTATGGTTGAGTCTTGAGTGGGTATTCAAACTAATCTTAAACCAGTAAACATTGAATTACCCCAACTTTACCACTGACGTCTGCAGAGCACTGGTTTTTCAAAACTAGATAACACATTTTGAAGGCCAAAAAACACGATAATTATTATTTATTTGTTGATTAATATGTGTTGAAGTATGAACTTCATATTATTATAGTGGAGTACTGTATTTAACAACTCAATTTTGTGTTTGATATGTCATAATCAGATGTTAGATAAAGAATTTGTTATAAGTTCGGAGTGCCTCTAAGTTTTTATTTTTAAAGAATTATTATCAAGAAATACATTGTAATTTTAGGTAAAATAAAATGTACAGAATACATTGTTTTTCTATATGTTAGTGTTGTACAACAATAGGTACGCAGTTATCACCTACCTAAATTATTTTGTAGACTTTTCATAATTTATTTGTTCTGGGCAGGACTAAAAGGTACTGTGCCAAATTAAAGATTGTGACTAAGAACAAAGCAATGAACATCATCACATTAATATAAAATTTTGTATAATGGTGGAGGGTTAGTATAATTGAAAGGGGCTGAGACATATCTTTTACAATAAATTCCATTATATAGCTCTGGGATTTTTTTACTTTTTAGTCGACTAAATAAAATATTGCCAGGCCACCACTACCCACCTCCAACCAAACCGTGCCTAACCTAACCTAAACGTCCTAAACTATAAGTTAGAGTGAACCTTCATCGAAGTTTCAGTCCAACAAAACTTTTAATTCGTTTTTTACAACAATACATCTGGAGTTACGCGCACCTATATATACTTATATAACTTATGTATAATTTAAAAAGTGATTATTTTATCAATAAACGTTTACATTAATGCAGTGGATGACTGTCGTATTTTCAGAAACATTTTCGACGTATTTTATGTTTTTAAAGAATATTTTTTTTTTGAAATTAGGTAAAACTAAATTATTTTGTAAAGTATGTTTTTTCTTATTATTGAGTTGTTAGTTTGTTACCTACTTTTTTAAATTACACATTTTTTAGTTTGATACAAAACATGAATTAACCGAAAAAATTACACTTTAACAAATTCAAAATTATCCTCTATGATATATTATTATATTATACACCTATATAATATCTATAGGTAATAGGTGTGATATGGTATTTGGTTTGCAAACATGGGTGGTTATGTGCCTAACTATAAGTCATGCAAGTGTGATTTTGTGTGTGCGTGTTCAAGTATAATTCTATCATTGAAATAACTAATAGTTGAGCGTGTAATCACGAGTTGTGCGTAGTTTGATCATTGCAATGGCTACACACAATGCACATATTGGTACGTACATTAACGCATATATAATACAATGGACGAGTTTATCGAAAACCTACCTACCACCCGTCGCCAGATAAGAGCTTTACTTACATAATTTAGTGTGCGCACTATATATACTCCTTTGAATTCTGGCGAATATTATAATATTATACCACGAGATCAGTCGTCCCTCGGCGGACCGTCAAAAAGATTCACGATCAGATCTCGACTTTTCTCTGCAGACATAATATATTAAGCGTGCGTGCACGCTTTACAATAAAATTATTATACTATGTTATTTTATGTAAAGCGAGTGCCCTTAGCTTATAATTGTGCTACGATATTAATATAATATTACGTATATAGCATGGGGTTCTATTTTATATCTGCTCTTCCGCCTGTTTATCTATATAGCTAGTTGGACATCTGTGCCACTCACGTTTGTAGCAGTGACGATGACTCCTTTATGTAATATTATGTTTGATCTAAGAGGCATGCCGGGTCACTTTTCTCTTTTGATATCACATAAATTCCTGCTGGTCAATTTTACAATACAATATTTTTGCTGTATTTTGTTTTTTTCTTGAAAATATAATGTAAATCTGTAAGCACCATGCATCTATATAATATAATACGTATATAATTTAATATACGTTTGTAAGGGGCTTATTTTATTAACTATATATACTGACCCAATTAGCACAACATTTTGCACATATTAAATTCTTCGAGACTAGGGAAGGGTTATTTGCGTGGTTTTTCAACCCATATAGGATGCTATAGGGTGGCCCACAAATGAATATATAGTTTTGGCTCAAAATTGAATAATATATTTGTATAATAAGGATGTCATTATAGTTTCAAAAGACAAAAACTATACATTGCTCTGGACTCTATACATTGCTATGGAATTTTTGTTAAATAAAATAAATAAATATTTAATTAATTGTTTGTTATTCAAAAATATAACAAAATCAATGTCCATATGCTTATATAGACTATATATGACTTATATAAAGTTTTAGAAATTATTCTTCGAGATATCAGGAAAGTTTAAGGAATAGTTTGAACCACGTTAGAAAATATATCAAATGGTATAACCAATCCACCACATGCAGATTTCCTATCTCAGTCGAATTAGTTCACAAAGCGAGATACACCGATGCCGATTTGTCTATGAACTAAGGTAAACTAAAACAGAGATACACTGATATAGTACTGCCGTATTTTATTTTTGTTCATTTTTTCATTTAGCCACTAGTATAAATAAACAAAATAATTATAAAAATAATAAACAAATAAAAAAATAAATGTCCAGACTCCAGAATTACGAAAAAAATATTACAGTACAACTTACTTAAAGTATTATAATAAATATTTATATCCTATTTATTTGTTCTGATAAGTTGCGTGGTCTGCAAATAATTTGTGATATTGAATTCTTTACTAGTTTACTCTATGTATTAAATTGAAATGATTTTATTTAGAGTTTTCTAACATGTTTCTAGTGAATATGGTTATAATATTTTATTCTGCAGATATTTTCAATACAACCAATCAACTACCTTATTAGTTTATAATATCCGTCTGGCGACTACGACATATAGTTGATTATATTATTCATTAACTGATACAAGGCACATAGTAATACAAAATACACACGTAAAATCGTTATTATATTCTCGTAATTTTCATTATTGCGACGATTGTAAAAGGAATGGCCAGGGATACAATCGGGTAGGTATATTATATCATGTTAATATTGTACATAAAAAAATGTGGTTTTCCTTAGTCACTTATTATTTTAGATCAGCCTAATCATTATGAGCTAATCAAAATGTATCACAAATTGTACACTCATATCGCCATGAGTGATTTATCCTTTTCAGCCTCAGTTATGTGTAACGGTGCAGGATAGGTTCGTTGGCATATAGGAAGGGATTTGCGAGGTGGACACTGTACGCTGAAATTGTCATGGGGTAAAGCACGTGATTTTACAATATATCATAGTATCGTTTCTTCTAGAACAGTAGGTAAATAAACAACCGTTTATACCAATGTATATTTACATCAGTGGTTGTGCATAATACATATATCTTACGTGATTTACATATGTACACAAATCATACATATTTTAGAAAATCTCCACCCACGATACCCACGATTATTCCGGCCACATCTGTTCCATTTAGTACCTAGGTAAGTAAAATATTTTTCCTATTTACAGAAATGACTTAACGACGTACTGCTAACTAGTGGTTTTTTTTTCTTTTTTTTTTTTTTTATTATCAAAATTGTTACCTATCAAATTGTTATCAACTTTCATATTTTGAAACTCGCTTAGCTTAGTATATAGTTGGTGGTTATAACTATTCAACTAAATAATTATGTCAAAGATGTTAGCTATATGAAAATAACTTAGTTGTCTATGTAGTATAGTATAGTGAATTGTTTCAAAATTCAACAAGAAAGCTGAGTTCAAACAAAATATAAGAAATTCGTAAAAAAAAAGGGTTAGACATAAGTTTATCTTGGAATATTACTTTCAACAAATATCATAACAACGACGAGAAATATAAAAGCTTATCTAATATTTTCCGAAAGTTTGGTTATTATTAAGCAGGAAGTATCGTATTTTATTACATTTTTATTTATGTACATTTATAAAGCATTTTGAAGTACAAAAGTATATTAATAAAAACATTTTAATTATTCAAACTCCAAAATTATCAACTTAACCAATCAAAATTCTACAGGTAGATATTTAATAACACTACTAACTTGAAAGTTGGTCTTTCTGTTACATTTTACATGAACATTATATAGGCAATATAAAAATGTATGAACTTTTACTTAACTGCAAATTTCAGTAATTTAGATGTGACAATAATATAAATAATTTGTTAATATTATCTCCAACCACATACAAATGAACATTTAATCCTATTGCCATAACTAATATAAAATGTATTATGTAAGAAATAAAGATAAAATGCAATTATTTTAATTTGTATAAGTAACAACAATAATTATGATATGATAATCACATCAACAATTCCTATGATAAGGCAACAAAATATGTAATTTGTATTTTGGATCTTCTTTTTTCCCTACTATTTTACTCTACCACACTACGCCCTACGTTTTTCATATATCTG